CTGACTACAGGAAGCCCGAGGCAGAGTTGCTCTGCCCCGGGCTTCCTGGAATCAGCTGCTGATCAGTTTCAGCAGCAGCTGACTTGGGGACACCTGGGGTTCTTAAGTTGATTCTGTATGTAAGTCAGAACTGGCGGTCAGTTTCAGCAGTGTCTGAATCTGGATGCCAGTTCCGACTTACATACAGATTCAACTTAAGAACAAACCTACAGTCCCTATCTTGTACGTAACCCGGGGACTGCCTGTACATTTTTGTATGCAATCAAAACATTAAGTAAAACAGCGACTATTTCTGCAGAAATTGTGGCAAATTGCATGCAGTTCTTAGCAATTCAAGTGTTCCAGCTTAACTTTTAAAACAGCAATAAAAGTGTGTGTGTGTGGGGGGGGGGGATTGGCCTATAAGCTACAAAAGTTGCATCGAGCGCATTCTACATGTGACAAAACATTGGGTAGCTTCGATCAACAAATAACAGGGGTAGCCAGGGGGGAGAAGTGAGAGCGGATGCCTCCAGCTCCCTGCTTGTGCCAGCTCCCACAGACTCCCAAAATGGCAGAAGTGCAAGGGGCAGGAGGGCAGGCAAGAGCCGGTAGGCAGGGATAACACTGGCTCCCTCCCACGTGTAAACATGTAAGCACTAAGAAGTCCAGCAGTTACATGTTTACTCACATAACCAATAGTTAACATCCCTAGATCACTCCAATCAGCTTCTGTACCAAATGGCTGGAGGACAGCTCATGGGACACCATTTTTTAAAGTCTCCGCAAATGACCCTAGAAATTACAGGCCAATAAGTCTGACTTCACATTAAGCATTTGAATCGTGATAAAGGAGCCAGGCTCTACAAAGAGCAATTCATCGCAACCTGCAAGACTCCAGCGACCCGCCCAGCAGAGGTCCCGCGGGGAAAGGGGGAACGTGACCGCTCTGGGCGCTGAAGCTCAGGACCGGGGACCGGATGTTTTTCACGTCTCCCCCCGGCCCGGCTGCATAAGTCTGACTTCACATTAAGCATTTGAATCGTGATAAAGGAGCCAGGCTCTACAAAGAGCAATTCATCGCAACCTGCAAGACTCCAGCGACCCGCCCAGCAGAGGTCCCGCGGGGAAAGGGGGAACGTGACCGCTCTGGGCGCTGAAGCTCAGGACCGGGGACCGGATGTTTTTCACGTCTCCCCCCGGCCCGGCTGC